TCTGCCTGATTGAGAAAAATAATTTTTGAAGAATATGCCCTGCACTTTTCTATAGGTTTAAAAGAAACCTATACTTCTCAGCATTATTTCTCAATCCTGCCCTTCTTTAACTCCAATAAGCAGCTAATCAGATAGATCATATCTGAGGGTTTTATTTTTTGCTGTTATGAGTTTAGGACTCATACTTTCCATCACAAAGTGAGTCCTGTTCAGCTGAGTAATTTAAGCATTTGGATGGGGAAAATGCAAGAAATGAGGTTGGACTGTGGGAAGGGAAAGGACCAACAGCAAGTAAGTATGGATGAAATCTGCTGAGAAAGCTGAAGCTTTGAGAAGGTTGGAGCCAGGTGTGATCTAATAGCAGTTCTGGTCCTTGATAGCCATGGCACTTTGCAGCTCATCTGCCTGAACAATTTGTAACAGCTTGGATGTGACAATTCTGTCTACCTTTTCTTTCTATCCTACCCCCTGCCATTCTTTATTTTGCTTTGAGCAGTGCTGGCACTCTTGCTTCTTATCATATCCCTGGCTAATAGTCTGTACCCTAGAAGAAGCTCATCTATAACTGAAGAAGAAAACGATATAAGCAAATTTGCAAAAGCAAACTTTTAGGTGCACTCTTGAATATTTTCCCCTAATTATTGCATGCTGTGATCTTCATTGATTATAGAATCTGATTGCATCAAAGTATATGCAAGTTTGTCTCCCAGTTGTTTATAACACAGTCATACAAACTATCCTTTTCTGTTACAGGAGAGACAATAATTTGGTGGACAACATCCTGCAGGCCTCCAATTAAACTAATTGCTGCCACTTTTGCCAACAGTGCAGTCATTGTCGGTAGCACAGAGCAAGTTATGTCTCTGCGGTCTTTTTACATACCGGGGTTGAATAACTTTTCTGGTAGGAAACAGGTCATGGAAGGACATTTTAATTGTATCTTGATTTTACGTACCCTGTCCTAAAGTCCAGGGTGATGAGGTGCATTCTCTCAACTCTCATCCATTTTATTGATAACCATTCTTTTCAAGTTAAAATAAAAAGAAGAATATGGTGGCTTCTTTAAGCCTCAAAATAAATCAGGCGTAATGGAGCACTTGTTACATCTCCATCTACCAGTGAAATGAGTTTCCTACAGCCGTCTTTCATTTTTATGATTCTGGTGGGGAAGGTATCATTGCCTCAATTGGAAACCTGAACACCACTAAGACTGAAGAGAGTTTAGCCACAGACATTAAAACTTGATCTAGATGGTTGTAGAAAAGAAACTATTCAAAACTATACTATTCAAATAAATCCTAAACCAAAGGCAAATGCCATAATGCTAGGAAGACTTTTAAACTCAAGGATTTGATAACTATATAGTAAGCATATTTTCTCCTGATGGTATGACTTTTGTCATTGGATCGAATATTTGATCTTTCTCCTTTCAGTTGCCATGTTTGACTTCCAATGTCCTGGCAGGACAATCCTCCTGGCAGGACATTGGACTTCACTTGTAATATTTCTTAATGAAAGAGAAGCCATACTTAAACTAAATTATCCCAAAGGTACTTTTTCAAGGGGCAACGGAACTTTCTGTTTTTTCTTTGAAGACGTTTCGCTTCTCATCCAAGAAGTTTCTTCAGCTCTGACTGGATGGTGGGGAAGCTTCTTGGATGAGAAGCGAAATGTCTTCAAAGAAAAACCAGAAAGTCCAGTTGTCTCTTGAAAAAGCACCTTTGGGACAACCATGACCCGAATGACTGAGAATCTGCATAAACATTACACTAAATTACAACAATATTGGTAAAATTGTTGAGAGTAAAGAAGAAGGGGACGACAGAGAATGAGGTGGCTGGATGGAGTCACTGAAGCTGTAGGCGTGAGCTTAAATGGACTCCAGAGGATGGTAGAGGACAGGAAGGCCTGGTGGAACGTTGTCCATGGGGTTGCGATGGGTCAGACACGACTTTTCAACTAACAACAACAAGACAACAATATTCTTTAAATATTATTCTTAGAAAATTGGGAACTTTTTAAGGGAACATTAGGAAGCATTTTCGGATCTGTATTGAACTTTCCTCCACATATATTTAGTCAATCAGTACATTTTGGTTTAATATATAGCAATATGAAGTGTTAAATTATTACGAATGAAGGCAAAATTATTTCGTTAAATTAGTCTTCATTCGAGCTAGAAATGAAGTAATAATTCAGATATGGGAATACTTGGTCTAATGAAACAGATATCTGAAATATGGAGCTAAGTTTCTAGATGATGAAGAGGGAGCGAAGTTTATCTCTTTGAGATTCTCAGGACTTGTCAGCTATGTAATTAATATCCTATTAGTTTGTTTTGGGTAAGAAAGAGAATTTGGAAATTTCTTGTTATCTTTGGAACTGTAATGCCACCATTTAGCATTTATATAGCATATTTCAAGCCTGTTAAATACTCCTTATATATTAGCTGAATAAATTTTACTTCAGCTCTATAATTGTAGCTCAAAGAACCAAGAATGACATGTGGAGTTACTTATAGTTCTTTATTGTTGTTTGCATACAAACGGAATCTTGCCAGACTAAAGGAACTATCTGAATAACTATTAGATATTCCCTGTGACTTGCTAGAGAGGGTTCACCCTCATCTTCTTCCTGCCTATCAGACATTCCATTTCAACTTTTTCTTTGCCCACAGGAAACAACCCTTATACCCCACAATTTCAGACTACATTCTACCTAAAAAGCTGCAGGAGTTGATGAAATAGCAGCAGAACCTCTTAGTCTTCCACCATTAAAACTCATTAAAAGTTGTATCTTTAATGAGTAGCAGACCAACTTTGGTATTCTATTCTTTCACCTTTGATAGGCAATTCCTTAATTTTTTCTCCCTTCTAGTCATTATAGTGAGTAATTAACATATCTGAGATTATTGGTGCTTTTCCCAGAAAGATTTCTATTTCTGCAAATTCAGCTTTTCTCACAATATGTTCTGCATATACTATAAGTGTGCGTATAGTTGTGTGATTCAACATGCCCCACTCTTACAGCTTTCAAAAGACCATCAAGACTTTGCTTTTTACTGAGGTACTGGCGTAGAGTGGGATGATTAAGTTACTGGGTTTTATTTTGGTTTTATGTTTTAAAAATAAATGTCTTTTGGGAATTCCCGTTCTTTTCCACTATTCAACTTATTTAATTATTTAACAATGTCGACTGGCGGCCCCCAGGGGGAGAGCCTTCTCTGTGGGGGCACCTACTATCTGGAACGAGCTCCCCCTGGAGATACGGAGGATCCCGGATCTGCGTACCTTCCGTCGCGCGCTTAAGACCTTCCTACTTCACCAAGCCGGCCTGACCTAAGTCTTTCCCCTTTTTAAATGGAAATTTTAAATCTGGTTTTAAATTATTGGGGTTTTAAATTTGTTCAGCCAAATTATTTAATTCGTTTTAATCTATTTTAAATTTTGTATTTATATGTTTTATTCCATGGCTGTTCACCGCCCTGAGTCTTTTGGGAGTAGGGCGGTATACAAATTCAATAAATAAATAAATAAATTATTTAAAACATTTATATAGCCACCCATATTTCAACAGAGTCTGGGCAGTTGCCAGTCAGTGTGTTAGGAAGGTAATCCAAGGTACCTCTACCTCTTCTGAATTCAGCTTGTACACTGGGAAATTCTCTCTGTGTATGGTTGAAAGTTGAATAGCAAAGTCTTGAACATTCTCTTGTAAGGATGTGAGATAAACATAGTTGTTCAGTAGTCTTAGCATTCTTTACCAGTGTTATCTTTTTTGGTAAATTACAATATCAATTGATATTTTCTAGTCTGTTGGCTACTGTTGTGTTTTTCATATCTGCTCACAAAACACTTAATAGCACTTTAATTGCATTATTTTGGAAGACTTAAAGGTTCCACTGCTAATCCATCAACTCCTGCAGCTTCTAGGGTCCTTTAACTTCATTTCCCAAAATGTCTGGCTCTAGTTCTATGATCAAACATTTATGTATATACAGGTAGTCCTCGATTTACATCCACTTGTTTAATGACCGTTCAAAGTTACAACTGCACTGGAAAAAGTGACTTACAACCACTTGTACAATTTTTCACACTTATGACTGTTGCAGCATCCCCATGGTAACATGATCAAAATTGGACACTTGGCAACTGGCCTGTATGGTTGCAGTGTCCCATGGTCATGTGCTCACTTTTGTGACTTTCTACCATAGGGAAGCCACACTCACTTAAAACCGTGTTACTAATGTAACAACTGCAGTGATTCACTTAACAACTGTGGCAAGAAAGGTTGTAAAATGGGACAAAATGCACTTGACAACTGTTTTGCTTGGCAATGGAAATTTTGGCCTCAATTGTGGTCATAAGGAAAGGAATACCTGTAATGGATTTGGATTGTTGTTGTTTTATGCAGTTCTCACCATGTCAATTCTGATTATATTTTCTTTCATCAGTACGGGTTTGATTCCTTTGCCTTTTATTATACTCATCTTGTTTTATTCTATTTCTGTAATTTTAAAAAATACATCTGCTTATATCTCCCATCTAATTGTTATCCTCCAATTCTTTACTTATTAAGACATTCACTGAGTAATTTCTTGTTTCCCTTTCCTTATCTCTAGATATCAGCATTTTGTTGGATAAATTTTCTTCTATCTGTGCTGCCTTTTTATTTTCCACCCTTCTCCAACTATTTTCACTATCAGCAAACAGCCATTTTGCCTTCTTTTGCTTTTTTGCATTTCTGGATATTTTTTGTTTCATCTTTAAGGATGTCACAAATTTAGAGTGCTTTCGGTGCACAATTTATCATTAAGTCCATTCTTTTAAATTCTTAGCATAACTCTTTCCCACAGTTCTATACCAGATGCTAACTCATTTCATCTCAATTGTTTTTAATCTCATGATGATATTCAGATACATTCATCCTAAATACGTTTCTGCCCAAAATACATGGTGATAAAAATAAAACAACTGCTTTTATTCTTCCCTTTTGAATAGGACAGTGCAGCCAGATATTCCCCCCTCATCTTGGCTCATCACAGATAATCTACGGAAATGGTACCACTATCGGCTCTGTAATTACATTTCGTTGTTCTGAAGAGCACCAGCTGATTGGTCACGGAGTTGTCACATGCATTTGGAAAGAAAATGCTACACAATGGACAGCTGACACTCCTTCATGTATACGTAAGTGTTTTTTTCCATTTCCCTCTCCCTGCTAATGATTTGTATAATCTTCAGAGTCTCTCTCTGACATGTAGGTGATCTACACTACTGTAAAAATTGATGATAACAGTTGCAGGATGGAAGAGCAGATTTCAGATTTCAGAATTCTATTCATTTTCAGAGATTGCTGACTATTACCAAAGAAATGCCACAGTTTTTTTTTTAAAAAAGATGAAATTTAATTAAAAATAATGTTACTCTTTCATTTATTTCATTTCTGTTTCTTTAAGTCTTGCTTAATATCATCCATCTTGTTATCTCAGATACATATATTTGCTCAAAATATTCCAGCTCAGATAAATGTTCAGTTTTAAATTCTAAATATGTTGATGAAAAAGAGTAGTTGTAAAAATTAAAAAATTAAAAAATACAGTTAGGCTATTGTTTATAATTGCAAAACAGAAAAGTGATTATAGATTCACGCTAACAAAGTAAGTCAAACCGCAGCAGTTCTAAAACTGTGTGCAAGCCTGTGTTCTTGTAAGTTTCCTAGAAAATGGGTGTCAGCAACATAAAAACCACAAAAATCGCACAACAATTTAAAAACTACTACTACATTTCTCATTGGTTTTGGTGGATTATAGGCCATTCAGTTAGTGGGCTGCACCTAACTCTATGAAAGTTAATGTGTTAAAAAGTATGTTAGTCTTCCAAATGCTACTACAGCTTTTTCTGTTTTTCCTCCAACATAACCCAGTTAATCCCAGTTAATCAAGTGCATTCAAATAAATTCTTCAACTATGCCATTTTTGGTGATTTTAATAGGATGATAAACAGCCATGCTGAAATTTTCTTCTGCCTTTTTATCTGTGCTTTCTACTTCATTTGACTATTCCAGAGAGAAAAAGTTATGTTAAAAATAAAAATAAAATATTAAATATGTTTAGAATATTTCCAGGCTATCCTAAAGGACAAGAGTCTTCTCAAGGCAGCTTATAGTCATAAAATCAAAATGCTATAAAGAGCATAATAAAAAAAATATGAATAAAGCCCACATACATTCTGCCACAGTATTAAAATTGAACCTTGTGTGGAGTTGAAACCAAAAGAGAACAATAGAATCCCATTTAGGAAAAGTCTTGAAAAAAACAAGTGGGAGTTTAGAGCTTTTACAGAAAAGCTGGGAGCCTGCTTCCCAGTGCCCTGGGAATCAGCCCCAGGGCACTGCATTCCGTAGGGTGGTGTGTGATCCCACTTGCATTAATTGGCTTAATTCCTGTCAAAGAAAAGAAGGTAAGAAGGATTTCCATTCCTGAAAATGGAAGCAGATCAACAGGAATAAAGGTGAACTTGATCTCAATTAGTTTTAAGGCTTTAAATATTAAAACTAGCCTTTGCGGTTGAATTCAGGACCTCACTGGTAATCATCCAAATGATACACTAGAGATGTTCGATGTTCTGACAGTTTTGCTCCCACCAAATCTATGTTCTACACTAGCTGGAGTTTCTTCTGAAGCAATCCTCTGAAGAGAAAGCAAAGTATCTGAGGTTCCTTCCTCCTTCCATTCCTCTCTTACCAGTGAAGGCAAATTAGCAATGGAAGCATGGAGAAAAACCACATGACCAAGTGATTTGAGATATTGGCAGTGGGCTCTCTACTGGTACATTGGGCCTTAATAACAGGGCTCAGTCATACCATACTCTAGCCTTAGCCCTGTAACACTGATTGTGCAGTCTGACCTTGCTGTATGTATGTGTTTGATTTCTATCCTACCAATGATTTCATCATCCCCATTCCAACCATTGTCTATCCACTGCAGGTTGAAGGCCTCTGCTGCATGTTTCCAAGCAATATGGTCTTGAGCTTTCCTTTGCCAGTTGGGCCCACAATACTAGCTGATGTCATCACTCCACCTTGTTTTAGGTCTCTTTTGTGGATGCTTTTTTATCATGGGATCCATTCTATGACTGCCATATTCCACCTCCCATCAGTTCTTCTTGCTATGTGACCAGCACATTTCCATTTCAATTCTTTTACTCTTCTGATGTCATCATATATTTTCATTTGTTCTCTTATCTGTGTGCAGGCTTTTGTGTCTTGTCTTGTGATGCTGAGCATGTGTCTTTCCATGGCTCTTTGTGCTTACTTGTAGCTTTTGTATTGATTATGAGGTTAGTGCAGGGGTGAAATCCAGCAGGTTCTGACAGGTTCTGGAGAACTGGTAATGGAAATTTAGAGCAGTTCGGAGAACCGGTAGTGGAAATTTTGTGTAGTTCAGAGAACCACCCAGAATGGGGTGGGAATGGAGATTTTGCAATATCCTTCCCCCAGGAGTGGGGAGGGAATGGAGATTTTGCAGTATCCTTCCCCTGCCATGCCCACCAAGCCACACCCAAAGAACCGGTAGTAAAAAAAAATTGGATTTCACCACTGGGTTAGTGTCCATGTTTTCCTGATGTATGTTAGAACAGGTAGCAGTGGCTTACAAATACAATAAAAATACAGTGCAAAAAGACAAAAATTCAACAGCAACTGCACAAAAATGCCAATATCCTAGGCAGCACAACCCAAAATCTCTCTAGAAGAACTTCAGTTTCTTCCACAAAGTGGTGAGGCTTGGGGCTGGTTTAACTTCAAGTTTTAGGTGCTGATGCTGAGAAACAGCTGGATAACCATTTGTCTGAAATGGTATAGGGTTTCCTGCCTAAGCAGGGGGTTGGACTAGAAGACCTCCAAAATCCCTTCCAACTCTGATATTCTATACAGTGCCATCCGGGATCAGCCTCTATGACCTGTAAATGGGAAAGGAGCTGCTTCTCTTGACACAAACACAATGTTAAGGCTGATTTCGGGGGGGGGGGGGCAGCAAGGCTTTGTAGTTTAAAACCAGCACTTTAAATTGCACACCAAACTAAATACAGTGATGATTGCTGGCGAACATCCAGGCCACAACATTTGATACCAGCTGAGGTTTCCAGACAAGGAGCCCCATATAATGCACACTACAATAGCTTAAATAGTGGTTACAAGGGCAGCAGCCATAGTTACAAGGTCCTCTTGTCCCAGGGATATCCTGAAGTGATGCTTTGAAGTTACTGCTCCCCCTTTTATTTTTGTCTGAGTTGTGTTGGAGTACGGTAATTGCTGTGCAAAGTTCCTCGTGAGGATTTCATTGCTCACTTATAAATAACAGGCTTTTAAATAGTTTGCTTTGAAACGTTTCCAGATAGAAGCTAAGTCAGAACACTCCTACTGTTCGTGCATTTAATTGCAGGGGTATGAAGGTTATATCAAGATGCAGATGCACAGCCTCTAACTGTGTTTGCTTTATTCCAGCCATATCCAAGTATGAAACCTTTGGATTTAAAGTTGCTGTGATTTCTTCCATTGTGAGCTGTGCCATTATTCTCCTGATGTCGATGGCTTTTATAACCTGTTGTCTTATCAAATGTATTAAGAAAAGCGAAAGAAGAAGGGCTCAAAGGTGAATCATATTTCTGGGTTTAGGCTGTTAACTGAAGTGGCTTTAAGATAGAGCTCTTGCTCTACTTCTCCTTTTCTCTTTGTCTCTTATGCTCATTTCCTGCTCCTGGCTGCAAATACAAACAGGAAGGTTCTCATCAATCTTCATATTCCATATGACCACATCTGCAATTTTTAAATAGAATCTATAGAAATACTTTTTGGTGTTACTTTGCTCTTAGTTTAATTTTACAATAGTAAGTCTATGAGGTAGAGTCTTGGCTGAGAGCAGGGACCAGCCTGAATAATCTAATAAGGTCTGTGTCAAGCAAGGACTTAAATCTAGATTTCTCAGCCACAGTCCAGCACTTAAGCATTGGCATTAAGCCATTAAAGTGGCATTAGGGTAGAAGAGTCACCATTCATGCATTTCCTCCTTCAAATCTAGAGAATGAAATTATCTACCTTTTGGGCAACTGTCTTGATACTGTGACTTTTCTCCCATTTTTAATTTGTCAGCCACTCAGAGTTGTTCTGGAGTTGGGCAACCCTAGAATGTGCCCAATACATTACATACATGCGTACATACGTACATCTATCCATCCATCCATAAATATATTACATGCAGTGATGGGTTGCCCCCGGTTCGCACCGGTTCTATAGAACCGGTAGTAAAACCGGCAGGAGGCTCTGCCGACTGACCCCGACATCATCAGAATGCTTCTGTGCATGCATAGAAGAGCACACGCACGCAGCCCCATTACAAACCAGTAGTAAAGGTAAGTAGGACCCCCCCCCCCGATTACATGCATACAGTATATACATACATACAGTACATACATATGAATATGTTCTCCAACTATGATAAGGCCCTATCATCACCCGTGTTTACTGACCTTTTGGCAGAAATACAATTTTTTCAAATTTTGTTAATCTGATTCAAGATTAAACTGTTCCAGGAGAGTTCCAGGCCAGCTTAATTTGAGAGACCAAGTTCACAATAACTTTTTGTTTTACTGACTGCCAGGTTGGCAGCTTTTACAAGTCAATTAATTTGTCAGGGTCTGTGAGGTGCTTGGTTGTCTCTGTAGAATTTCCTAAAATGGCTTCTTCAGATTTCTGGCAAGGCAAAGAGACAAACCTTTAGCCATAGGGGCTCACAGTAATATGCCAAGGGAGATGAGGGGTTATTTAATTGTTAATTTAAGTATATATGCATGAATCCATTACTCCCTTAAACCCAATCAGTCTCAAAATTCCTATTCATACATAAATCCCAGTCATTCAGTTCAACTTTCACAATAGAATAAAGATACCATACTGTTTTATTGCCATTGTCCCTTAATGGCCATCATCTTTACCAACATTCCCTCCTCACTTTTATTGCTCCAACTGAAGTCAAATTGGCACTGGTGCCAGTTGGTCAACCAGCTCCTGTTCTCTAGCTCCTGTTCTCTATTTAATCTTCCATTTTTTCCTATACCCATTGGTCATTTGCATTCAATTTTGTTCTGCCCAAAATTCTCCCCAATCTTCCTGATTCACTCTCACCTTTGCTTTGAGTTTAGTGGCATTTTTCTTCAACATTTATCCTGCATATTCATTTCAAACCCAAAGATTCTTCCAACCAAACAGTCCAGCTGGATGCCATCTTGATACCTTATCTGTATATTTGGGGAAATTGATTTTTCAGGATTCTTTTCTGTGTGGAGAGAATCCACATCTATACAACTCACACATACTGTACTGTCATTATTCAGAATTTCCGATGATAGTATAGAAAGATGGAATCAGGGGCAATGAGCACAATCTTGCATTTGCAATAAAGATGAAAAGGGACCCTTCCACTAAATTGGAGAAAAGGGCAATCTTAGTTTATTTAAGTTATACTGCATAGGGCCAGCATCATATAAAAGAGAGAGGATAATGGGAGAGGGATTCATGACAGGCATGTGAATTGCAGAGACTGTCAGTCATCTCAACCTGGTCAGTTAGAAAAGAAAGACTCTCAAATCCATTGTTAAGGAAAGTACACTTTACTAAAGCCAAATGGTTACAAGGTAGCAAAGCTGGATCTGAAGTTACGTGCCCAAAGCATCTGGTTAACTCTTCCCTTCTCCCCACCTTCCCCTTGGTTATCTTAAACTGTCCAATTACATTCAAACAAATTGTTTTGGCAACATCCCTGGCTTGGTGGGCTGGATGATCTCACTTTCCATTCCATGAACTTGGAACAGCCAGCAGCTCCCACGGGACCGCACAAAGAGTAGTTCCAATTCCCTTCATCCTAACCTTCCCTTTACCTTCCCGTGGGTCCCTCCCCCCCTTCCATTGCTTGTAGCAGACTGGCATCTGGTGAAGTATGGCTGATGTAGCAGGATGACAGTCTTGACAGAGACTTGATGTGATATGCTATTTCAGATGTTTGACATTAGTCACATTTGCATAGTACGCATCTGCTGTGATCTGCTACGGATGATATCAGTGCCTCTTTTTACAGGGATATGCAGTCATGGTACCAGCTCAGAAGTGAAGAGCTAGAAAACATGCAAGCAGCTTACTTTGGTTTGAAAGGCAGGAATAGCAACAACAACAACAAAAATATTAAAACCCAGGCGGAGTCTGATGGTAGTAGTAATGTGGCGTATGACAACCAAGGCTTCTGCAGGTAAGGAAGAGACCAATTGGTATTGTGCTGCATTTCCTGAGCAGTTTTTACAGGTGACTGGACAATCTACTTATCACACACATCTCAGCACTCTTTGTCATTTTTGTGTACAGCTCCATCTTGCAGAGGGCCTAAAATGACTCTGTCATTCAAAGCTCTGTTGAATGTTCTGTTTTCCACACAAAAACCATATTGTAAAATAAACCTCTAGATCATTCTCAGAGTTGCTCCTTCAGGCCTTCTCTGCATTCCCTCCTCTAATTTAAAATGCACCACTGTAGTTATACTGTGCAGTTTTATTTATGATAATGCTACATAAGCTATAAAAGTTAAACTGCATCTCCAGTCACTGCAGATCAAGAATCAAGCTGCATATTATGCTCAGTGCATGGCATATTAGTTTATCTTCCACATTTAATTTCATCCTTCCAGGAATGGAAGAAATGGAGAACAACCAACATAGAAAATATTCAACCTCTTTATTTGTCTGTGTAACAGCCAGTTGATGGTTAGTTCTCCTGCAGGGCATGTAATTATGGACCAAGAAACTGTTCCATGCATACCAAAGATGAACCATCATGGCATCAAACAGGAATAGGGACCAAATTCATCATATTTATTTGGGTGATGGGGGAAAATAATCCAATTTGACATTATCAGCTTTAGTGTTTTTCACTAACACTCCCAGGAGTGTGTATCTCCTCCCATCATGCTGTAATAGTATAGAAAACCTATATTTCCCTTATCTTTAATTATACTTTTAAAATGATGTGAAGCTGCAAGTTATGCATTAAATATAAATGTAATGTTTAACCCTAAATGAAGCCATCTGATATTTTACCTTTGAAATTAATCATAGGCTGTTTATAATATTTGTTACTTGGCTAAGTAGAAGTTCTCACAATTGGTAAAATGATTCCATTTTTTTTTAAAGCTAAATATAAATAAAGGAATTGCTGCAATTGCGCTGGGAAATTAAAACCCACCAAGATTGTTCCCTTTTAGAAAATCCAAAATCTAACACAGGTGCAAATTTTCCTCCACTCATATAGGAATGGAAATGTAACAGGACAAAATTTGCAAGAATTTTGTCTGTAACTACTTTATGCCACTTTGTCTCTTCTTTGGAAGAGAAATCTGTTTAAAACTGAGCTGCATTAGGTGTTCCATCTTGTTTCTGATAATGGGAAAAGTTCTTACTGCGGCATCTTCCACCCTTAATTTGTGAACGTATTCGCTGCTTGTGATAGAAAGAAAGCTAAGTGTAAAATGGCTGCTGTGCCTTGCAGTAACTTGCAAAGGTCAGAACAGATAATATAATAATGTTCTGTTCCTGCTGTATGGCTATCCGAGTCTCCCTAAGAAGCCACTCCTATGCACCCCATTAGTTAGTGCTGCCTTGTACTGGATCAGTTGGAGGACTTCCAGCATTCAATTATTCCTGCTGCAGTTTCCAGTCTACCCACCACTGGGCCAGAAATTGCCCTTGTAGAAGGACAAAGAAATCTCCTTATGGCCTCATTAATACCACTTTAGCTCCATAGAAAACTGTTTTATACCATATCAAGCTCTTTGTCCATCTAACCTATTGTAGTCTGCCGCCGGCCTGCGGAGCTGGCAGCAGAGTCGGACAGTGAGGAGGTTGGGGAGGAACATAGGCCAGTCCTGGAGTCTGGGGAAGGCTCGGACGAGGGCTCTGTGTCAGAGGCAGAGAAAGGGCCATCTGGGAGGTATGGGCTGCCTCTGGAGCCTCCAGAGTCGGACTTCAGTGAGGCAGAAGAACAGGGGGAGCCTGTTCCCAGTGCGCACATGCGCAGAGCTGCCAGAAGGCAAGAACAATTAAAACAAAAGGGACAACTTGGGAGTAGGGCTTGGAGATGATTGGCCCCTCCCATAAGACTTAAAAGAGGAGCAAAGGCACGTGGGCCTTTGCAGGAAGCAATGTTGTTAATTCTGTTCAGTTTAAAGTCTGAAGCTCTGTTTGATTCTGGACTCCATGTGGCTTTGCCAATTAGGTCTTTGGCAGTGTGTCAAGGGAGATAAAGGTGGGTGATTATCAGCCTTATCCCAAAGGACTCTTTACAATTATTTGGGACTCATCTGTGAATGAACAGAATTCACAGCTGTTGCAATAAAAGAGGTTTGTGGAACTATCATGTGTTTTACTGACTCAGGAAGCCTAGATCAGAACATAACCTACCCTTGTCTCCGCTGACCAGCAATACCGGTCTTTCTTATTCCTATTTGGCCTATCAATTCAGGGTGCCAGGGATTGAATGTATGACCTTCCCAAGGGGCAAAGAAACTATTGTTCTACACTTAACTTTATTATCTTGATTATAATGTATATTTTTGATACCATTATTTTTCTCTATTTTTGCTTTGTATGTGAATCACAAATCATTAAGCAAACCGTGAGGTCATTCAGCAAATCCAGAATATGCAGTGGGTGGGTAAGGGGTTGCCACTTTCTGCCAGAAAATTTGGAAGTTTAAAAGTCACAAATCACAGTCACATGACCGCAAGACACTGCAACCAGTCATAAGAGATTAAGAGCAAGCTGGGCGAATGAGCTGTCTATCACTTACCACTTTGCTTGGCATATGATTGCTATTTTCTCCCACGAATGTCTGTGTCACATATAAATGCCTAACTCCCATACCACCTCCTACTTGGTACAGTAAGGGTTAACACCCTCACCTTCCCCACAACTCCTCACAGTCCTGCAGAGATCACAGAACTGACAGGAGGTTAGGTTCCCCAGACAGGAGCAGCAACACACCCGAACGCTACCTATGTGGTTCCAGGAATCACTACAAGAGAAATTGCCCCAGAAACATCCGAGGTAGGGAACACAGCCAGCGCAGGGACAGACCAGGGTACAGACAGAGACAGTCCCCAGAATGCAGATTCAGGCGCAGGGACTCTCCCAACCCCAACAGCAGAAGAGATCACAGAGATAGCTCCCGGGATAGCCATTCAGGCTCACTCTATGGGCTTGGAGGACGGGGGCACAACAACAAACGAGTAAAGAAGAAGAACATTTGGCTATTAGACTCAGGTGCAACCAACCACACCACCCACAATGCCAACTTACTCTCCTCATTCACAGCGGAAAACTTCATGATTAAAGTAGCAAACCAAAACAACGTCAGAGTGGCGGGGAAGGGAAACTTAAGCATACCAGAGATTGGAGAAATAGAGGGGGTCTTATTCGTGCCAGAGACCCCATACAACATACTGGCCGCCATGCAGCTAAGCAAGGACACAGACATCGAAGTCACTTTCAAGGCAGGACAGGCACACATGGTCAAGAATGGGAAGGACATAGGGGAGGTTATAATTAGCGATGGCCTGCCATACTTCAAAGCAGGCAACATTAATCACCTAAGCATAAACACTAACTCAGGGGCAACGCAGGAACAGACGTCTTCCGAAGATGATAGAGAGAACAATGATGAGGTAGAGGGGGACAGCCACCAAGAGACAAGGGCAGCGAACATAACCACGTGCCCATCGATGACAACAAACTCTTGTTAGGTAAACCCATACATGACAACTGTGCATACCTCCTACACATGAAGCTAGGCCACATTAGTTTTCCTGTTGTACAAAAGATGACAAAATGTACTGATGGTTTAAGAGTAAAGAATGTCCATACATACACCAAACACATATGAAGAAGTGCTTAAATTACCCCAGGGGGAGAGAACAAAGTGGGAACAAGCTATGGAGAAGGAAATGAATAGCCTCAAAGAACTAGACATATACACAACCTCCGAGGTTCCAGATGGTAAAACCCCAATTGGAACTAAATGGATATACAAGATCAAAACTCTGGATGACAATAAAACACTATACAAGGCAAGGCTAGTGGCACAGGGGTTTGCACAAAAATATCCAGAAGACTACACTGACACATACTCCCCCACCGTCAGAGCTGAAAGTGTCAAAAGTGCTTTAGTAATAGCCTCCATTTTAGGGCTCGAGATGTACCAATTTGATGTGTAGACCGCATACTTACATGCCAAGCTCGACAAAAGGATCTATGTTAAGGCACCACCAGGCATAAAGCCACAGGAAGGTAACACATGTCTTCTGAACAAAAGCCTGTACGGACTCAAACAATCAGGGAAGAGGTGGTATGAATGCTTGGCCGAAATCCTTAGAGCAATGGGCTTCACAGCCACATACGCAGACATGTGCTTCTTCGTAAGGAGAGGGAAGGACTCTGTCGAATATGTCCTCGTTTATGTGGATGACATATTGTACATAGGCAAACAAAAACACAAGTGTGACACATTTGCCGAGGAAATGAGTAAACATTTCTCCCTGAAAACTCTAAGCAAGATAAACAAGTACTTAGGGGTTCACATCGTACAAACTGAAAAAGGCTTCTGACTGTTACAAGAAGAAAAAATCTTGGTGCTGCTAGGAAAATGCAACATGAGCGACGCCAAGCCCTGCGATACCCCCATGCAACCCGAATTCCTGAAGAACATGCATAACGAGGACAAACCGTTTACAGACAACCAGCTATACCAGTCAACCATAGGGTCCCTACTATACATTGCAAACTGGACAAGGCCAGACATCGCTCTACCTGTCAACCTACTATCCAGGTATGTCAGCAAACCCATAACCTACCATTGGGAGGCAGTAAAGAGACTCCTCAGATATCTAAAATACAGCTCCAACGCATACCTAGTGCTCGAGCCAGAAACCTCCAAAGAATCCAAACTCTCCTGCTACACAGACGCTGACTGGGCAGGAGACGTGAAAAGCAGGAAAGCACATCTGGATACATCTTCTTTCTCAATAGCAGTCCTGTCCATTGGTACACCGGCAAACAGAACTTAGTTGCTACATCCACCACCGAAGCTGAGTTCGTGTGTATGTCTAAGGCCACAAAAACCTAACCTGGTTCGATGACTTACTGTCCAGCATTTGGACTGAGCCCACATACCCCATCACCATCCTCGAGGACAACAAGGCAGCTA